TTATATATAAAATAAATAATTTATATTAAAATACAAGTTTATTTTTAATAATTGATATTTTATTTTAAAGTATTAAAATTTATTTTATAAATAAATATGATAAATAAAAAATTAAATCAGATAAAAAATTAAAAAAAAAATCTGTAAACATTCTTGCCGAAAATAATTTCTAGAATATTCACATATAAAATAATATTTCACATTTAATATATAATAGTTAATTTTAGCTGCTCAAACAATATTATTCTTAATAAAGAATACATGTAGTTTATAAAAGATAATGAATAATATAGTATTATATTTAGAGTTAATTACCTATACACTGTTAGTTTAAAGTTTTTTTACACTGGCAACCAATTAAATCTTTTAATTGTGTCATATCACTAACTTTTAACGGTAACATGGTACAATTAAAAGATATAATTGGTTGTCACTTGTCGGTGTAAAAATTTTTTACACTAACAATATACAGGTAATTAACTCTTACATTTAATAATAAATGCAATATAAGCTATTTTAACAAAAGAAAAATACGCTGATAATTAAGATTTATAACAATACAACTGAATCCAAACACACAATAAATTTTTTTTTTTATTTTTTTTTGTCAAACGTGATTTTGATTTCTCTTGTTTGTTAGATACGTATATGTCTATACTTCATTCCAATCGATCAATTATCGTCACGGAAATTAAAAGCCCAGATTCCATTCTTGCAGTAACAAATACAATACGTCTATCGGTCTATTACATTTTAAAGTTTGATTTCTCTGGTATATAATATTTCTTTTTGTCAGTATCATCAATTAACAATTTCAATTAATATAATATATTAAATTTACTAAAAAAGAATCTCGTTTATAATTTTTGTCAATCTCAATTAGTAGGTTTTGGGTATCTGGTGTCATGTATGATAAATATTTCAAAAGACTAAATTTAAAATTATCTAACTGCTTTATTATAGATAATTAAATGTTTAATTTTTTTGCTAAAGGTCGAGTCCAAACCACTAACCTGAGGACGACTTTGAACCCTGGCAAAGCACACCCCACTCTCAATACC